TTGCTTGGTTTTGGAAGTGCCGTCGTTGTCGCTTGGTAAAGAAAGGGTCTTTGAATGGGCTAGTGAAATTTGAAACGTTGCGCGTCGTCCGCCTGGGCCCGGCCGCCGCCAACAAACTGGGCCAAGGAACTGCTGGTGATTTGAAGGCGCCGTTGGCGGAGTGGACGAGGACCGAGGAAGGGGAGGAGATTGCCTACAAGCGGAAGCAACAATGGAGGGAAAGCGAAGCGAACGGTAGGAACAGGCCGGCGGGAGAATGGAGGGGGGGCGGAAGGGGCGAGGAGGGTGGCCGGAATGCGGGGAAAAGAGGGGTGAGCCGGAGTGGGTGGATCCATTGCAGGAGGCGAGCTTTCACTGCAGGACCTGGGGAGAATTCATGGGTGCGCACAGACGAACCCCCCCCCGGCTGGGCATCCTAGGCAACTCAACCATCGCTTTCGTCGTTCTGAGCACCGCCTTGTCGAGCGGCTTCAACCGGGAGTATGTCGCCGTCACAGCCGCTGACTACAGCTCCTTAGTAGCTGAATGGGCGCAGGCTACACTTTTGGGGGTAGTTTTGTCCCCCCCAAAAAGTAAAACATTGAGCTTTTCCACGTCTTATAACATTGTAAGTTCAGCAACTTAGACTCCACGAGCCCTAAACAAACCCTAACCAGTCGACGAAGGCTCCTCGCTGAATACAGTTGGAGTGGCTATCGGCCTTGTGATTCTCACAGGCTCGCTGAATGTCCCGAAACTTGGTTCTCCAATATTTTGAGTTATTTTTGGCTTTCATAGCTTGTTGTGCTTTGAAAATTTGACCCCTTTATGTCTCTGGCTTGCAACCCTAAAACCTAGACCGGCCTAGACCCTAAACCCTGAACCCTAAACCCTAAACCCTACATTTGGGAAGTAAGGAAGCCCTCGAAGAAAAAGGCCTCCGAGCTCCCGGAGGAGGGACCCATGGGTTTCTTGCACAGCAGCTTCTTGGTACTTTCATATAGGTGGTTAGGCTCTCGGCCTGCAAGGGTGCTAAAGCAGTCTTTGTTTAGGGTTTAGGTTCTAGGGCAGGGTTACTATCAGGGTTTTCAACGGTTCCACAACTTAGATGGCTTATATATATATATAGACGGTATGAGTTTGGTCATCCTAGAAAGTTGGAACGTTTTTGGGCCCGGTTGTTGAAGAAGCGAGGCGTTGTCGAGCTGCAGTTGCAGTGTACCTGCGGGCGCTTCAAGAAGAAAAGGTGGTCTCTCCAGGAAAATGCAGAGCCAGCTACTCGATTTGCGTTCAGATGTTTGGGGCTTCGGCTTTAGAACTTACAGGGTTTAGGGTGTAGGGCTTATAGGGTTATAGGGTGTGGGGTGTCTGTCAGGGTTTATAAGCAATTAGTATATTTCTTGCCCTTTTTTCTTTTTGGGCTCCCTCGTTAGAAGGAGCAATAAGGGTACCTTCGTTAGCGGGGCACCTAGGATGTTTCTCGGGCATTTCTCGTGGTTAACCAGAATATGTACGCCTATGGATCGTTCATCTTAGATTTTCGCATGTCGCAACCGGGAAGGTAGGAGAACAAATGGGAAAGACGTTGTCACAGTTTTCTGCAACGTCGGTCATTCGCCACTGGAGTTCGATTCGGCGTGAACGGAGTGAATCTCGGAAGAAGGCCTGTCAGCGATGTGCCTGGGATGAGCACGTCAAGGAGATAGCTGGTCGGCGCATGTCGGTGGATCAGCTTCTCGACTTCTATGCCAAACTGGGTCCCAAAAGGACGACTGGGGAGTTATGCATGACACATTTCGACCCTGCACGGTCTACTACGACGGACGTTGTCCGCCACGTCGTGATCCCGGAGTCGCGCTGCGGTGACACAGGCAAGGCCCTGGCGGAAGTTGTGCAAAGCTCATCGCGGACGCGATGCCTTCCCAGCTCATCCTCGACGGTGCGCATGGTGACGCATCACTGGGCAAACAGGTTTAGGGATCTCGTCGCAGCTGTTGTTGCGGACAGTTTAGGCCTCAAGCGCTGGGACAGCATCGCAGATGAGTTGTCCTCTGGCAGAGAGGAGGCCTTGAGGTCAAGGCTTCAGGGCCAAGGGTCACTGAACTGGGAGTACTGGATCTGCGCATTCTGCATCAATCAGCATCCAGGCTCCTTCGTAGTACCCTTTGCCTTTTTCTTTAAAGGGCTCCCCTATTGAAACGGAAACCAAAGAGTAGGAGAAAGGGTACCCTTATCATTAGGGGTGCTACCGGGGAACCTAGTTAGGCATGCCAGCATCTGTGATGTTGCTATGGGCGCCCTCGACACCGTCACCGGCGAGCCCTTGCCGACTTGTGACTGCGCTACACCAAAGTACTTAAACGATTCTCCAGTTCAGTGCGAGCTGAACAAGTTTGACAGCATGATGGCTTACCTTCACCATCGTTATCACCAACGCTTTCTGCAAGTTGTTGCGACTGACAAAAGCTTTAACCTCTTCTCGCGCGCGTGGTGCATAGCCGAGCTGGTCCAGGCGCACGCCAGCAGAATGGAACAGCATGTGGTCCTTCATTCCCACAAAGTCCTGGAAGCTTGGCCGCTCCTGAACATGATTTTCCAATTCTTGGGTTCTGGCTAGTCTTACGAGTGAACAACGAATGATAGATGGCAGGAGCCTACTGTAAACCGTGTGAAGCCCAACGCCCTAAAGTCCCACACCCGGAGCCCAGGAAGAGAACTCGGCGCAACTGGAATCACTGCGAGTCGCTTCGCAGTAAAGTAGGCAGCCTTCAAACACTTTCTGTAACATACACCCAAAGTTAATGACCATGTTGGGGTATGAAAACCCTGAACCCTAAACCCTTCACCCCAACATCATCCCTAAACCGGAAACCCTAAACCCCAAGCCCCAGCCCCCAACCCCAAACCCTGAACCCTAAACCCCAAACCTTACAAAAACAGTCCAACCCCTGAACCCTCAGCCCGTATTCCTGAACCCTAAACCCCAAACCCTAAACCCCAAACCCCAAGCGTTACAAGAAACCTCCAAACCCCAAACCCTGAACCCTAAGTTCCCCTAGTCTCAGGTAGAGGATTGTTCGGCTTCCCGACCCGAAGACAAGGAAGGAATCCTGAAAAAGCTTCTCCGCTCCGAAGCAGTGCCCTTTTGGCCCCTTTCTTTTAGGAAAGGAAGGGTCCTTTTGGCCCTTTCTTTTAGAAAAGGAAGGGCTTAAGGTTTAGCGTTAAGGTTTAGGGCGGCTATCGCATTTAGGGCTTAGGGTTTAGGGTTTAGGTTTAGGGCTTTGGGTGTAGATGCTCTTTGATCTTAAAGGTTTCTGTAAGGATTCTGAACAAATAGAAATCAAAGGATTCCATCGGAGGTCAGGGGTTTAGGGTTTAGGGGTTAAGGGTTTAGGGTTTCATGGTTTGGGGGTTTAAGGTTTAGGGTTCAGGTTCTACAACGATTCCGTTCGAAATTCTAAACGGTACGTATTCCGCAAGGGATTCTACAAGAATTCTATAAGTTCTAACAGGGATTGTTTGAGGGGGTTCCATAAGCGGTGCGGCGAACCCAGGATTGGCTCAGCATCAGAGTCTCGGTGGCATTTTGGGACAACTTGGTCATGATTCTTGGTTGTAGGTGCATTTAGAAGTATTACAGGACCTTGAGTACGTGCAAGTACTTGTAGTAGTAGTAATTCTTGGGGTCCCTATATGCTTACAGCCTATTCTACTGATGAAGGCCCCTGCCTTCTCTATTTGAGGAAAGCCCTTCAAGCATATCTCCAAAGCCCTGCGCTCTAAACCCCTAAACCCTAAGCCCTGAACCCTCGAAAGGCCCAAACCCTAAGCCCTCCAAAGCCCTGGAGCCTGCAGAGCCACCCAGGAGATAGACTGGGCTCTTGTTAGGGGAATTCATTTAAGCTACCATAATGAGGGAACCATATTATTTACTATAGATCCCCTTTAGGGTAACCTAAATAGAATCCCTTCATGAACAAGAACCCAGGAGATCGAGGAGTTCAACCGAAGGCTTCGAGAGCTCTTACTGGGATCGGAAGGGCTTTTTGTCGGCTGGAAAGATGCTCAGGCACTCCTCCTCGATGTAGGTGCCATAGCAGCGCGAGCCAAGGCCTCGCTCAATGCCAGTCAGTCTGAAATCTTCGAAGAAGATCTCGTAGAAATTTGAAGTGTCAGATGAGAGTCTAAACTCTAAGCCCTGAAGACGGGGCACAGAGTCTGTAGGCTCCAACCTCCCATGCGGGACTTTTTCAGGAGCATTTCCCCGCCTAATTACCTTGAGCTGTCTCATCCTAAGCCCATCTGCAAAGGTAGATGGCTTCTTATGGCTGCCCCTGCTGGGGCCCGGGCGCGGTTGTTCTGCGCGTCCTGGCCACGGCTGTTCAGCAGGTTTTGCAAAGCTCAGGGTTTGTGGGGAGTTGTAATTCAGGTCTTGGCTCAGAAGTGAGCGCAAGACGCGTCGACAACAGCCATCCCATGGACTCTGCAAAACATACCGCGATTCTGAGTTTTCCAAGGCTCGGGATTCTGTGCGTGGGGTACTATGGAAAACCCTGCTTTCCAAACCCCCGGTGCCTGCCGAAAGCATCATCACCAGCCTCCAACACGCAAACCCAGCCAGCAGCTGCCGTTGCAAAAGAACACACGGCCGTGAATGGCTAGTGATATCATTGCTCAGCCCTGAAGCTCTCATATAGGGGCCTTAATAATTACTATGTTTTGTTGTTTCCTTATTTGTTTACAATAGAATGTACCCCAAAACCCTATTCTACTTGTTAGGGCCCCTACATTTAAAAAAAAACCTGACAAACCCCAAATCGCCTCAACCACAAACCCATGGTTGGGGTCTTAAGCCCAACTATCATTTAAAAAAATCTCCTTTCAGTCTCAACAGAACCCTCAAACCCCAAACCCTAAAACTAAACCCTAAACCCTAAACCCCAAACCCTAAAACCCTAAGCCCTAAGCCCTTAGAGGACCTCTCAAAGGAACCTTTGGAGGATCTGTTTCAGGAGTTCTGGGCTCGGAATGTTTTTGTTTACAAAGGAGCCCCCCGCAGTTATGACGTCCACTTGTGCTCAGGCATCTCCAAAAAAAGAGGCAAAATGCAGGATTTATGGTGGTCGGTAAATGCAGGTCGACTTGTGTTCGCAGTTGATCTTGGACAAAGTTCCAAAGCAGAGCCTTTGTGTTGGAATGTGCATTATAACCTTGGTTCTAGAAGATATGCACGCCGTTGAGGATGTTGATAATCCGAGTAGCCACAACCTAACTTTGTCACAGGTTTCAACTGCAAGGAGAAGTAACATATTACGATGCAACGATCGTTGAAACTTTGATAATTGTGAACTTTCCAATGACAGAGCATGCCGGAGAGTGGGCAGAACTCTTGTGCACTTCATCCGAAGCTCCTGCATCAGAGTAGACGCACAGTCGCAATGCCAACTGGGCAGATCTCGAGCAGGAGTTGCCACAGGCGAGCCAGGAGGAGACAAGCATCTCCTGCAGATCCCAGGGGTGTTGTTCTGGGAGAATGTCGTTCCCGGAAATGGAAGCAACATGGAGGTGGAGATTGGCCTCCATTCCTGGGCAGGCCAGCTTTTGCTTCCATCATTCCTCCATTTTCCTGCCTCCATTTTCCTTTGAAAAGGGAGGACCCGTCGTGAAGGAGCATCTTTCCAGGGGCGAAGGATACCTCTCTGCCCTGAGCCTGCTGCGGCAGAAACTCCAGGATGTCTACTGCGATCTTGGCGACGACATGCTTGAAAAAAGGGAAGCAGCTATACCACAAATGTAGGAGCGACTGCGCGATGTGTTGTCTTAACTCAGCCGTTTTGGTGTTCGACCAATTCCAAAAAAATCCGCATCGCTGCATATGTTCACTGCTTGCAACTGATGGCAACATGGTGGTGCAATTCCAAAAAATTTGCCCATTCTGCGACCTCCATTTTTTTAGCCGCCACCTCCATTCCTGTATTCTGAATCTTTGCAATAATGGACGTCATAACCCTACGGTAGAACTATAGGAAGCCTGATAGGAGCCCTTGAAGATACCAAGCCCTGCAGGAGCCCGTATAGAAGCCCTTAAAGGAGCTTCCAAAGAAGTATCGCAACCATTCTAACGTAGGGGCCTTAGTGAGTAGAATTATAGGATGTTTTATTAAGACCAATTATTCCGGCCTGTATAGTCATACTATGGTTCCCGACCATAATATGAATACAGAGTCAGGAGCCCTGAGGAATAGGATTGCCAATCATTCTGGCCTCAAAATATTGCTCTCTGAAGCCGGCACTTGGGATGTAGAGCTGGCGTCTATTCAGCTTCGGATTCGGGTCCAAAGGAGCTTGAAGAGCTGAGGGTTCTAGGGTTTAGGGGTTTGGCCTCAAGGCTTTAGGGGTTTGGGTTTTATGGGTTTAGGGTTTAGTGGCTTGTTGGCGGGTTTTTGGGTGGGTTTCAAGCTTGTAGGAACGAGGGTTTAGAGGTCTCGCCTTCGGGCTTGTAGGGTTTAGGGTTTAAGTTTAGGGTTTGAGGTCATGTGAGTTTGAGCATGTGGGTGTCTAGGGGGTAGTATAGGGGATTAAATAAATGCTAATGCATCGTTTTTTTTTTGTTGGGGGGGGTTATTATAAGTATATAGTACAATGGGCCTCAAAGCCTTCTGAGCATTAAGACCCCTATTTTGCCCTAAGGTAAAGGTTTAGGGTTTACGGCTTTGGGG